AGCAGCACGAAAGCTGCAAAAGTATGTGGTATCAGCCTTTGTGTATCTTGCGTGCATCCCACGGACGCAGCCGTCACCTCCCCGTGTGTAGCAGACAGACGACATGGCGTCTCCTCCCCGCAGCAGTCAAGTTTCCCCCAGAATATAACGGCAAATGCAGCCACACCGGCCTTGCAGCAGGGCTGAGAAGCGCTGCAACAGAATCACAACCGCAAGGCTTCGTTGCTGGCCGCTGGATATCTGAACGCTACCAATATATATCTTTTCCGCCACTCGAAATCCGTCGTGCTTCCTTCCCTAGTGCAGATTTGACCTGTCGTTTTGTGACTTGTACACTCCATCCAGCCCTCGGAATCGCGCAAAGATCTGTTTTCCATGTTCTCAGACGTGTATAGTTCCTTTTTGAGAACTTATCAGCAAGCATCGTGTTGGTTATGCTACACAAACAGGGCGCTCCTCCTTTCATATCATCTTGCCAGCTCGTTTTCTACCTGTGACAGCATCCCAGCCCGTGCATGTGCAACACGCTTGTAACCCGCGCGACGAGCCGGCGCCGTGCAGCCAGTGCTGTCTATGAAGATGTGGATCAAGAGCTCAAAGCGGATGCGTGGAGACCCACACGATACCGCTGAGGAAGCGCCCTCGAGTGATGGGAGCCTATGGAACACCTGATTGAGAGTCACCAGCTCCCTTGCTTCAAATATATTCGGTACCCGACGGTTTTCTGCTATCGGCGACGGTAATGCAAATGCAAGGGCCGATCCACAGGCTTGGGCCTAACCAGCTCCTTTGAGCAGTGTGCCCAACGTCATCATCTCGAGAAACAAGACCATCAAGCCCACACTATGCGAGAAACGCGCGCCCCGGTGTAGTGACTAGAGAGGCTATCGAAGTTTGATCAGTACATGAAAGACTTGAGGTGCAGCCAAAGCAAGAGATCGTACTGACTAGGATTGTATACATGCCCCTCTCAAGTCCTCGGGAAGTGGATACCTGGAACCATTTTTTCTACTCAAGTAATACGAGCTCGACAAACGGAGACTTGTCTGCTTCCTCACGTGGTGCATGGCCGCTACCGAACCGATTACCGTGTCGCATCAGCTGCTGCGCAACTATCTGAATCGTTGTCCGGCTGTTTAAACATCCATGCTCGCGTTTTGGCCACATGCCGATATCGCAGAGTAATAAGAGTTGACCGACTGTTTCCCGACAAGCAGCAAAGGAATCAGGGAGTCCAGGGAACCCTGTAAGGGTGGCGCTTCAAGGTACCGTCATTCGTCAGTTGTCCACGCCATGCCTGCCTGTAAGGACCGTTCAAGAGAATTTTACATGTAGTGTGGCCGCTGGATGCCGCATATTCATCGCACGCATACGCCCATGTAATGGCTTGCTCCAGTTTGTGGAGAACCGCTTCAGTCTTGATCCGTCACGAATTCAACATTGTTACTCGGTCCAACCTCAGACCTGGATTCTGGATCTCCTCGCTACCGCAATCGTAAAAAACAACAAGGCTGACCAAGCCCTTCCCAGTCGCGTCTACGGCGCCGTACAACAAGCAGATACGATCAAACCCTGAATTGTAAAAGAGACTCCATGGAGCCTCGACTCACTGCGTTGAGCATGATGTTGAGTAGTTGCTCCGCAGATGCTTAGGCGGTGGCGGGGAGTGACTGGCTCACGCCAACCTACAGTCAAGGAAGTCACTGTGGATCCAATGCACGGTCAGGTAGATACAGAAAACCACACTTAACTGGGATTGTTGTGTAATGTCCTGTCACAGACCTGAGAGTCATGGCCTATATAGCCATATATGCCTGCAAATTTGAGCAATTAGGGCCTGCGACGCGAGAATCCTGGCACGCAAAGTAAAATGTTGGGGGCCGCCTCTAGGCTTTGTGTCCAGAGCGGTGCATAGATGATTATCGCGGCGCAGTCGTTGCTAAAAGCCACGAGGACCAAAGTGAACAGCTAGTCCCGGCTTGGCCTGTATGTATGCATAGCAATGGAAGTTGGTGGAAGAGATAAGGTTAAGGGGAAGCAACCTCAACACAAGTCACTGCATGACCATGACCAATCAGTACCAACAATCACGCCTAGCGGAACTTGTCCATCTCACAGCAGGGAGCCACTACATGAAACTGTGCGGAACTCAATATTCTTATTCTGGTACAGCACCTACATCAACCCTAGCCAGAACGAGATACGATACAGAATACAGGTGTCGTTATCTATCAAACGACCTCTTCGCATCGCAGGCTATGCCAAAGCACGCGTTTCAGCAGCATTAAATGAACTTATTGCGCGACAAATCCAAATCCAAAAAGGGCCCAAGACCAAGTGTTGTTGTTAGATCAAACGCCGTCGTCCACTCCAGATCTAACCGTGAAAATGCATGTTCTAGAAGCCGTGTTCCCAGACGCCCTTTTATTTCTAGTCTAGCCCCTCATGACCAGACATCTTCCTGGTACTGATTCGATGCCCTCATGGCCTTTACAATCTCCTCACCCTTGGTCTCGGACACATTTCGGTACTTGGAGATGATCTTGCCGAGTAAGGTGTTGACTTCACGGGCCATGTGTGCGGCATCACCGCAGACGTAAAAGTAAGCCTTTTGCTCGAGCAGCTGGTTGACAGTTTCACCATTCTCTTCGATCTTGTGCTGCACGTAGACCTTTTGGGGGCCATCTCGAGAGAATGCTGTGTGCATTTCGAATTTGTCGCCAAGGTCTTGTTGATATTGCTGCACGCCATGTTAGCAACAGCAAAACAGTCGACAAAGAGTAACATGAACTTACCTTCCACTCATCAGCATACATAAAGTCTTCTGCTTGTTTCCTGCATCCGAAGAACAAAACAGTCTTGCCAACGTCCTGGCCAGCCTTGGCTTGCGCAGCTCGCTCTTGGACAAAGGCACGGAAAGGTGCGACACCGGTACCAGGGCCTACCATGATGATGGGCTTTGAGGGATCCGAGGGAAGCTTGAAGTTGGAGTGGCGGACATGTACAGGGACGTGAATACCGTCGTACTTGTTGCGGGGACCGGTAATAGCGTAGTTGAGGCCATGGGGATCGGGGTTGGGGTCTCCGTGCTGCTTCTGTTTGAGGGCCAGCAGGTAGTTGGTAGTAACACCCTTGAGAGCGTATGGCGCGCCTGGCTTCTCGATGGACTCGACGACGGCAGTGATGGAGATCTTGTCTTTCTGTACTAACGAGGATGAGGAGATTGAGTAGTAGCGGGGCTGGATCTTGACCATGGTCTCGAAGAGGAAAGAAAAGGGGATCTTGTCCCAAGTGGCGCCCTTTCCAGTAATCTCGAGAAGTTGTCCTAGGTTGAGGTTGCGATCAGTGACTTGTTCTTTGAAGTAATCCTTGTCGCTACCAAGCTTTGTGATTTCAGCCTTGATGTCGTCGTTGGGAGCAAACTGAGCAATGACCGAGACGAGTTGACGAGATACAGCAGCGTTGATTTCAGTGTGGTAGCGGATGGCGGCATCGTAGGTGGTCGGCGAAGGGAAGGGAACCTTTGCAGTGGGGTCGAGACCTTTGACAGCAATGACGGTATGACGCTTGTCTTCCTTGCCGAGAACCTTGAACAAGCGATCGACTTCTTTGCCAGCGTTGGTAGGCCAGATGGCGATGTGATCACCAGTGGTGTATGACAGGTTGGAGCCAGCGATACTGATTTCCATGTGCAGACAGTTTCGCTTAGGATCGGAGAAGAGCTCGTGAGATTCGACAATAGGGGCGATGTAGGGGTTGTTGGCGTTGAAGGGGCCCTTTTGGTTTCCCTCAAGGTGGTTCTTGTTGGGCTCACCGAGGAAGACGGTGTCATCTTCGGGGGAGAGATCTGGCTTTTCGGTGACCTCGAAGACGGGCTCGTACAAGGCTTCGCGCTCTTCCAAGCCCAGCTTTTCGGCAACGGCAGCCCACATGGGCTCCTTCCATGCGAGGAAATCCTCTTCCATTGTACCAGCACCATCGTCACCCTCGCCAGCCGAGCCCAGGCGGGTAGCACCAAGCTTTGTCAAGAACTCGTCGACTCTGCGGACCATGACATTGTAGTGTTCGTATGTGTTGTTGCCGAGACCGAATGCGACGTACTTGAGTTTGGTGAGAGGCTTGTCGCTGATGCCGCCGCCCTCAGAGAAGACGATATCCTCGGAACTGATAAACTCATAAAACTCGACGGCGTTGTCTGTGGGCTCGCCCTCGCCGTAGGTGGCCATGACGAAGATGGCAAGCTTGTCTTCGGGGAAGGTATCGAGATTCTCATAGTCGTATTCCTCGAGATCAGCAACCATGGTCTTGAGACCGAATCGTGACTGGCCCTCTTTAGCGATACGCGAGGCATAGTCCTCGGCGGTGCCCGTTTGGCTGCCGTAGAAGACAATGCAGTTCTTGTCCGTCTCGTCCATCTTCTCAATGAAGTTGCGGGACTTGCCCGCTTTTGCAGCGCCATTGGCCGCGGCCAGCGAGCTACCGTATGGGTTGGTGGAGACGGCCCAGTAGGTGCCCTTTGTGAAGTAGGCGACAGTGCCGATCAGCAGGATGGCCAGCACCGCAATGTCGAGGGTATCGAGTTGGGCCATGGTGCTGGGAGAGGCGTTAGCAGGAGGCACGAGAGAAACAAAGACGGAGGGGCAGCACTGACACTGTTATCTATCACTCGGCAACCGAAGGCGGGCAAGCGAGAGGGCAGTAGTATTTATGTACAGGCAACGTTGCAGCGGCCCTGGAGCATTGGCAGCGGCTGACGGGGCCCGAGACTTAAATATAGTCTGCGACTTGGTGTTCCCCAAGCAATGTGTGACACTTACACCAGCACACGGAGGGGCGTGGGATGTAATACTTTTTTCCCCTGTGGTTAGGGGTCTGCGTGCGTTTTGTGCTGTGCAGCGTCCTGCTGACGAGGCGATCGTTAGGGCCAGATAGTGCCGTCACAGACAAGAGCCGGAGCCGATTCGTCCCGCCCCAGACTCGCTGCCATCTGCCACCGCCGGCTATGGAGCCCTGGGTTTCCCGAAGGCGAAGCCCTGCTTGCTGGCCGCATTAGTGAAGAGGCCGCCGGTCAAGCAATGCCGACCAACGCTCACGCCAGATGATCGGTCACTGTCCCCATGCCCGAGAGTCGGCGGCGGACAAAGGTGCAAACCGAAGTGCTCATCAGCCAGAACAGGGCGGTCCTTGGCCCGTCTTGACCGGCGTTTACTACACGTGTACGTCCATACATGCTATGCTAGTACTACGACTTGCCGCCAAACTTGCCTGGCCCGTACACATGTATGTACTAAGTATGTATTGGACACTTAGCTGCTTACGTACACACCTACTTACTTGCACGTCTATGCCTAGCTGCTGCAAACAAGCATCTGATCCGATTAGCTGCTTGGCTATTATAGTCTTAGTGGCGAGCTCACTACCAGCCAAGTCATTGGACAACAAGGCTGCTTTTTCTGTTGAAATCAACCGTCTCCGAAGATTTGGCTTCTCGGCCACTCGGTATTCCGGCTGGGCAACATGCAATACGACAGGCCGACGGCTTTCCGCTCTAAATACCATGTAGCATACATATCGACATCTGTAGGCGTAGATATACCAATGTACGCCAGTTTACTAAGCACCCAATCGGGGCTGGCGTCATCACCGCTGCCTGCAGCAAAGGATCAGTTTTGCCAACTTCACATGCCAGTGTGCAACTACTAAGCCCGACTGCCCAAGTGTGGAAAACTACCGTCTCTCGCACTTTGTGGTCTATGCTGCATTCTTATGGCAGGTTCGCCTGGCCTGGATCGGTTTCGTCCGTTTACATCCACACACGTACCCGCTGTTAATTACGGAGGGTAGCGAGACGCCGACTTCCCTGTGTGCGCACGGTAATAGACCACATGGGGCTAGTGCTTCGGAGAATGGACGAATCTAAGTGCGTATGGGTTTAATTTCCTGTAATACTCATAGTGAGTAGTTAAGTACTTATATACAAATGTACGTACATACGTATACCTCTTTCCAGTGATACCAGTTGTTGTTGTTGGGGAGTGCCCGTGGAGCACTTCAATCTACTACTACATAGTCAGCCAGCCAGCCAGCCCCCCGAGGTTCTGGTCGGGGCCATTCACGTGACGCTCCTTTCCTGCTTCGCTGTCCCAGCCAAGGCAGTCGATGACGGTCTGCAACCCAAGCAGGATACCTCTCACGTGCAGTTCAACGCTGCGCGTACCAGACTTGCATGGCCAAATTGGTCCTCCACGTGGGATTGCACATTAAATCCGGATGGATCTCCAGAGCCGCGACGCTGCCGGTGCGCCATTGATGATCGTTGCCGCCAAATGGGCTAGCCGTCAGGCACAGGGCAAGGGTCTACCCACTCCCTCGACCCCAAAAGACATCAATGACAGCCAGCGCGCCCCCCTCACCCGCCTTGCCTTTGTTGTCGTGAGCCTCTGGCGACGGGCTGCAAGATCCTCTGCCAGACGTGGAAGATGCTGCACGGCAAGTCGGCGGCATGTGTAAGTAACTTTCTCCCCCCGCCCACCCCCTGTGACTCTCTAGTCGTCCCCAACCCGGGACACGGTACCGTGAAACACCCTCCCCACACGGCTCGCCTCTCGACTACTATGCCGGCCTTCTGCTGTGCCATGCTCGGCCGTAGATGGTCGTCGAGACGGCTTTGCTGCTTTGTTGCACCTGCTTTGTGCTGACCCCTTCTGTGCCTGTCAATCAGCAGCGTTCCCTCTCTTGCAAGCCCGGCCACCGGCTGGGAATGTGTCGCACCATATAGACCACCACCCCTCTTCGGCCTCACGCGAGCCCAGCCAAACGCGTGGAAGGGCACTGACAGCCTCGTCACGAACAATTACTTCCCGCTCACAGACGCCCGCCGTAAAAGGCGCAAGTAGCAGTTCGAGCCCCGACCGCACCCTGGCCACGCTCGAACGCAAGCCCTCGGGCTCTTACGCCCACAATCGCAACACCTCCATCGTGCACGGCATCCAGCACTCGCGGAACACCAGCTTTGTCAACTCGCCCGCCACGAGTCCCCTGAGCCCCCAGATCATCGCCGCTGCCGCCGGTGCCACCATCGATGGAGCCGTCATGTCGCAAGAATCCATAGCCGATGCCTTTGCTGCAAACGGCATGCAGCCTGGCTCCGCCTCCGGGATCCCCTTTGCCAGCCCTCCCCTCCAGCCGGTCCATGCCGATGGCTATGCCCCCCTGCGCAAGCCTGAGCGGGCGCCCAGTTCGAGATCCTCGCGTAAAGGCCATAACCACCACCGCTCCCAATCCCGCCACCCCCAGCACCCCCATGAGCTCAAGACAGTGGGTGAATATGCCCTACACCACCTCTTCAACTCCTTCATCAGCCAGGCTGAGCACAAGATCAACCAATGCACGACGGAAAGAGGCCAGCCCGAGGCAAAGGTCGAAGGCGTTTGTGGTCCTGGGGTAGACCCAACCTTTGATCAGCTCATAGCGGCCCTGGGTCATATTGCTCGCCAGAAGCCCAAGCCCCTAATCGACACCATAATGCTATGGCGCAAGGCAAAGAGTGAAGAGGCGTCCAAACAGCGCACCCAGCTGCTCAATGTAGGCCCCCGAATTGCCTTTTGAGAGACGAGGACATTACTGATGTATCCAAGGCACGGCAAGCCAGTCCAGTACCCCATCCCTACCCCGCCCTTTCACGGCGAAACACCGAGTCGACGCAACAGCCAGACACCCAGCCCACGGCCTCGGTAGCATCGCCCGCTGAGCATATTCTTGCACTGCAGCATACCGTGACGCAGGCTGAGCAGCGCTCTACCGTCTCGACCTATATTCTCTGCCGTGTCTTGATTGAGATCATGACCCAGACCGATCTTCAGAATCTCACGTTCGAAATGGCAGATCGCCTCCTAGGTCTGTTCTACGGCCAACTCAGCACTGTAGACCCGGACTTGGTGGATATATCGTCCCTCAACCTCGCTAATTGGACTATTTATAGCCAGTTGCTTGGTGTGCTGAGTGGACTTATTTTCGAGCAGGTGCAAGAGAAATTCATCGCCGACTTGAGAATGGTAGACAGCCATCTGGCTGCAAAGAACCAGTACAATAAAGATCACGAGGCCAAAGGCGCCTTGTTGATCTGCGCACTAAGGCACATGAAAGTCGAGTCTTACCCCGAAGACGTCTGGGACCGGACGTGCGACTTCATGCTTTCAATGGCAAAGCTGTTTACCAGCGCCCATGGACAACCGGTCAAGTATGCTTACTGCCAAGTGTTGAGGGAGCTGTTACTCCGCATTGCTTCAAAAGCGACCGTAGAGCTCAATACACCCAAATGGAAGGCTGTGATCGAGCTCATGAAGCAGCGCGCTGCCATATTACTTGGTAAACCCAAGCATTGGCATGAAGCATTCCCACTCATGGCTGCCATCCTGTGTGCATCCCCTACCGACATATTTCTTTCCCAATGGCTCGCACTGGCCCTGTCGACTCAGCCCCGGCTCAAAGAACGGACAACTAGACCCATTGCCCTTCGTGGCATTTGTCGACTCGTGTGGACCTACATATATCGACGAGGCACCGAGGCACCCAATGTTGCTGTGCGTCGACTAGACGAGATCATACGGATGGTGTTCCAGCCTGGAAGAAGATCTTATCTTTCCACCGAACCTGTGATAGCAGAACCCCTGATACAGCTCACGCGCATCATTGGGTACAGGTACCAGGACCTTTGCTTCAAAACAATCGTATTTCCACTTCTCAACTCGGAAATGTTCATGTCAAATCGAGAACTGCGCGTCGAGAATCTCGAGCCAGAGCGTATGGTCATTGGAATTCGCTCATTCCTTGCCATCATGGCAGACCTGGAGAACACTGAGCAGCCGCCTTTTCCACTGACGTTTGATTATGATCCCAATGCATTGTCAAACGAGCTGCCTGCACTTCCCAGTAGCCCGCGGCCTCTACAACCTCTACCCATAAAGTCTAGCCTGCTCAAGGAAGAACGTCTTTCGCGTCCTGTTGACTTTAGCGGTTTTACCGAGGTGGCTAAAGAGCATTATGTCCGATTCTGTAAAATTTTGGGCGAGATCACCATCATTTGTGATAATGCCTTTGGTGGACAAGCCGTTCTGGACGAGAAGTTCTCTGTGCAGACACCAAAAACGCCCATGGCGGATGCTTTTAGCTTTGGTCGTCGCGAAGAAAACCTAACCACTACAGATCCTAGGCAAGGATTTTATGATCTACTACACGTCGCTGTCCAGGCTTTGCCTCGCTGCTTGTCCCCGCACATCCCATTCAACTCCCTCGTCAATCTCTTGTGCACGGGGACGGCGCATGTTCAAGGAAGCATCGCAGTATCCTCGGCCCAGTCCCTGAAGTCTATAGCACGACAATCTCATGCTCAACAAGTCACAATTGGGTTTGCACGATTCATCTTCAACTTCGACGACCGGTATGCTACAATGTCTGACGGTGGCATGCTCGGTCCCGGGCACATTGAGAACACATTGAAGCTCTATGTCGAACTGCTCCAGATATGGATCGAAGAAATCAAGCGAAAGACGCGCAAAGCAGCACTGGACACCCCAGATGATGGCTCTGGCAATCGCGCTGCTCAGCTTGACCTCTCATCGGTATGGGCTCATGTTGAAGAGGTCGAATCTCATGGTATTTTCTTCTTGTGTTCACCTTCCCGCCGTGTTCGTTCTTATGCCGTTACCGTACTCCGCCTCATCACCGAGTTCGATACAGCTCTGGGAGGCTCAAACACCAGGATTATTCGCGTCATGGAGGGTAGCCCGCAGAGAGTCCTTGATATCAGTGACGACACATTGTCTTTAGCCGAGCGGAGTCGCCTACAACGCGGCATGCGCAAGAGCAACGTACAGAGCACACTCGTTGAGCTCTGTAGTAGTGATATACCCTACGACTCCACTCTGTGGTTCAAGATCTTTCCAAACCTGGTGCGAATCAGTTTTGAGATTTGTCCTTTTGCTGTCACGCTCACTCGGGACATTGTTTGCGCAAGACTATCTCAGATGTATCGGACTCTATCTTCCCTGGCTGAAGGCCAGCGTTCAACCCCGTACTCGCCACACGAACCCACTAGTAATAAACCCAGTGGCCGCCTTGCTTCCACGGCACCGGAGATTGTAGTCGAGCAATGGAAACTCTACCTCATCTTTGCGTTTACAACATTGACCAGCTTGGGCCCAACAGCCACTTCAGCCACGCAGGGACATCATTCACGGAAAAGCTCCAAGTCTTCACAGACGAGCACGACTAGGCTACACACTGCTACAGAACTGTTTTCCAAGGTCTTGCCATTCCTTTCCGTGGAAAATGGCGCCATACGAGATGCTGCTGTCATCGGCCTTGGGTCTGTCAATCTCAACCTCTACCGCACGCTACTAGAGTCCCTTCAAGGGATCGTAGCTGCTTGCTCAGAGGAGGCCAAGATGCGTCTGGGCAACCACAACAGGACTATCAGCAACCCACGGCCGATGAATTATCGAACTGATCATCTTCGAACCGAGATTACGCATGTATACAAGCTGACAGCACAACATTTTCTGAAGTCACCCGAGGCCTACAATGATGAGTGGATCATCAACAACCTGATGAACTATACCAAGGACCTGAGAATCTTTCTCAGCGACGCAGAAGTGCAGCTTGAAGCACGGTATCAGAAGCTGCGCACGCATTACTGTGGCCTAGTGGAAGTTCTTTTCGTGGGCATCAACAAAACAGCAGACCCTCTGCACTGGATGCCATT